AAAAAGCCCAAGAAAGACTCGCGTACTTCTACAACTTTTCCTTCAATATGTACATACCTTATTATTTTGCTCATTTGGTCGACATGACTACTATCTGGTGTGCTATCAAATAACATGCCGTAATATTTTGCCTTTTTCACATCAACAATAATATTTTCCAGAACGTGGTCGCCTAAGATGTTTATGAACTCATTCTGAATACCCTTAGATAAATAAGATGGCAGTCTTTTGGGTCCGCCTGCTGATTTTTCTAAATTCGTCCAATGTTCTCTCAAAACAGGATCATAGCGAGCCATTAGCTTGATTAACTCCAAAAAGTTTCCACGATTTTCCGATTCAAAATCTTCTCTGTGGCCCCGGAACGAAAGGTTTTGTTTTGCCAAAAAAAGCGTGATGTCCAATAGTCTGTGCAGAATATCACGCCATTTTTTAGTTTCAGAATTGATGACTTTTTCAGTGCTATGATCAATAGTTTTTCCGCTATGAAGCCTGACTGTCAAGGTTTTCCATTTCTCGAAATTTGACAAGTGTTCGTTGGACGACTCATGTTGCGTAACTTTCGGATTCAATTTCCACCACCGATCAAAACCAGAAACAAATTTTTTTTCTAGATCATCGTCCGTTGCAAAGATTCGACAGCAGAAACAATACAACTTATTTGTTGATAATGAAAAAACCATCCATTTTCTCAAAAATTTGGTTCCATCCGGTAAACTTGCATAAAACCATGAAGACGTCAAGCTCCTATTTGTTCCTTTAGTTGATTCTCCGACTCTTTCTATTGGCAAAAATGGTCCATCCTTGTTTTGAAATGTCGAACTACCGATCTGTATTATTTCTAGTCGAATGTCGTCTGGCATTGGCACCGGCCAAGTCGCTGCATCGTTTGAGAGAAGAAACTTTTCTTTGAAAGTACTTATTTCACCACCAAATGTAAATTCCTGAACTTCTTTTTCTTTTCCTTTTGCTGCTTCAGTTTCATCTATCAATAACAATTACAATCATATTTAAAAATATGATTTTTGAAAAATGCGAAGGTAACTAATATAAGCAAAATTCATCATCTTTAATACTATTGGATTACACAACTTTGATTAACGTGTAACATTTCATGACATCATATTTTATTATTTCGATATGAAAAATTATATTCAAGAATCAATATATTACCATTTACATTGTTTACTTCCAAGACTTCATTATTAGCATCATTTGATCTATCCTCGATCTGCTCTAAATCTGAAGATTGATTCTCATCTGTTTTCTTTGATGGAGTCACGACTTTGAAGAACTTATCAAGTTTGAAAGTCTTTGCCAAAACTTCTTGGTGACTTTTTTCTTTTTTTT